CTAATTTTTTTTTTTTGTTACAGATTTCTAATCACACCCAATAAACATAATTTTTTTAAGATTTATTTATTTATTGTGTATACAGTATTCTGCCTACATGCATGCCTGCAGGTCAGAAGAGGGCACCAGATCTCATTATAGATGGTTGTGAGTCATCATGTGGTTGCTGGGAATTGAACTCAGAACCTTTAGATGAGAGGTGCTCTTAACCACTGAGCCATCTCTCCAGCCCCAAACTTACAAATTTTGAGGTACAGAAAGTTCTCGTAACAGTCTTACAAATCTTGAGATAAGTTTTCTATCTTAGCAAAAGTTTTAAGCAGTTCAATGAAACCAAATAGTCTAAAGTTTTTGGGCTGTTCTGCTTTGTTCTCTTTTCTGTCACAAGATCAGGTGATTTTCCTGACATAGGACAGAGAGGAAACTTTAGATATGCATGCTTGGGTCTAGAGAAGAGAGAGCCATAACCCAACTCCAGAGCCTGCTCTCCAATAAAGTACAACAGCATAAAATAACTTTAATATTCTCCGCACCCAAGAGATATTTGACTTTCTGTCAAACTGAGTCCAGTGACCAGAAAAGCCCAGAGATAAGAAATTCTGAATGGTCAGGACCATTGAAGCAGCCATGGCAAGTGGCTTCAGTGGTGGCCAGGGGCTGGTGGTGGCAAAGGTAGCAAAACAAATACCAATAAACACAGAACACAGAAAGCTCATGCACCCTAAGGAGGCCAGCCAGAAACAAAACTCATACATTTAACTGGGCCTGACCAATTTCCAACTCATCTCGTATTCAAGCAACCAGAGCCAGGCTGGTGGTGCGATGTCTCAGTATTTTGCTCTGGATGGGAGAGTATTAGGTCTCCTTAGAACCCTCCTCATCCCAGATCTGGATCTCAGCAGAACAAGAAAGTTACTATGACAACCAGGGGAGGCCTCCATAGACGGCTGCTGCTTTTCTCAGCTTGGCAGTTCACTCTGATAGTCTGAGAAACAAAAAACACGGCCTGGAGCCTTGGTATGTCTCAAGGTGCGCACCTCCTGAGGTGGCCCTTCATCTGAGTCCTGGAGTGAAGGTCTAGCTTTAGAATCTGGGTGGGTCGTCTTATCTTGCTGGGGGCCTCCAGAAAATGCTAATACCACTGGGCAAGAATAAGACCACTACCACAATTTTTGAGCCAAATTTGAAGCAAGCTTTATCAAATATTGGCCAGGATGGTGGACACTGGCCAAGTTCATACCCGAGATTACCAGAATATGGGATTCAGGGACTTATAAAGGCAAAATGCAAGGGATTTGTCCAACCAGGGGCAAGTGTACACCCTGATGTGCCTCCTGCCTATTGTGATAAAGCACATACACTTGGTGCAATTGTTGCAACCAAGCTTGTTATGGAAGTGAAGACAGACACAGGGCTTGTTATCTTACGTGAACAGCTCCCAGCATTCCAAGAGTTATCTGTCCTTGGGTAAATGGGGCTTACAGGGTAGAGGCATTTTGTTTTCTAGATCTCTTAAGCACAGCAATTTAAGCATGAAGCATAGCTTTAGCCATCATGTGTCCACACTGTATGTACTACCTGCCCATCAGTGACTGACTCATGGGTACTTTTGCTTGTCTGATTGACTGTGGTGGTTGTAATACTTGAACAAGAGAGCACTTACTTTACTTAATAACGGCCCCAAAAGCAAGGATAGTGATGCTGGTAATTCACACACACACACACACACACACACACACACACACACACTCACATACATATACATACACTCACACACACACTCAC